TTGGATGACTGTCACTTAGATGCACAATGTTTTCCTTATGTTTTATGTAAGTTAGATGATTAATGCACATTGGATGCACAATGTTTTGGGTGATATTGAATTATGCCCATTGGAACCAATATTGAATTATATCCATTGCAATCCAAGTTGCACTGCCCAGGTTGTTTCATAGTGAATGAATAAATATTTTGAATTATGCCCATTGCAATGAATTTTGCATTGCCTAGGTTGCATTGTCCAGGTTGTTTCATACATGTGAATGAATAAATATTGCATTGCCTAGGGGTGTATTTTTTTTTTTTTTTGTATGTTGAAATTTTGTAAAATTTCAAACCGCCAAACCGATTCGTATCCATCCGCCGGATTGGCGGACGGATGCGGATGGGCAGATGCGGATTGATTTTTTCCAATTTGCCAATCTGGCGGACAAATGGCAGATTGGAGGTTTCGTGGCCGCAACCGATCCGCGCCCACCTCTACCTACCGTGTACGTGTCCCCATTTTTTGAAAATTGCCGTATCTCGTATCCGTATCCATGTCCGTGTCCGTGCTTCATAGGACATTATATGTGGGTATTATTATATTTAAAATAGTCTCTGTGGTCAAAAGGGTCAATTTTTTTCTATTTTGAATTCATTATCACAATGTAAATGTGATTACAAGTTATAGTAATATTAGTGTAAAATATTTGTAGTGACCAAATATTTTTAATTTCTAAATTGGAGTCATAATCCTTTAAAAGTAGAAGAGTCTTATAGCCTATAATTGCATGCTACGTTACACGGACTCAGATGTGGGTATCGGGTGCCGGTGCGTATCTAGGAGTCAAATACTTCAAAACTAAAAATTGAGGATATGCGGATATGGATCCAAATTTGAATGCAAGTACAGGGATACGTTAAATAATTATTTTTAAAATATATTTATTATATGAAGATGAGTTAAAAAAAGTTAAAAGTCCATTTTTTATTTTAATAAAAAAACGCACTACTAATAACGTTTTAATAAAAATGAACTCTCAACAGTATTGCTTTTTTTTTTTTTTTGAGGAAGTGCACAAGTTGAATTATGTTGAAAATTTATAAAATTTCAAACCGCCAAACCGATTCGTATCCATCCGCCGGATTGGCGGACGGATGCGGATGGGCGGATGCGGATTGATTTTTTCCAATCTGCCAATCTGGCGGACAGATGGCAGATTGGAGGTTTCGTGGCCGCAACCGATCCGCGCCCACCTCTACCTGCCGTGTACGTGTCCCTATTTTTTGAAAATTGCCGTGTCTCGTATCCGTATCCATGTCCGTGTCCGTGCTTCATAGGACATTATATATGGGTATTATTATATTTAAAATAGTCTCTGTGGTAAAAAGGGTCAATTTTTTTCTATTTTGAATTCATTATCATAGTGTAAATGTGATTACAAGTTATAGTAATATTGGTGTAAAATATTTGTAGTTACCAAATATTTTTAATTTCTAAATTGGAGTCATAATCCTTTAAAAGTAGAAGAGTCTTATAGCCTATAATTGCATGCTACGTTACACGGACTCAGATGTGGGTATCGGGTGCCGGTGCGTATCTAGGAGTCAAATACTTCAAAACTAAAAATTGAGGATATGCGGATATGGATCCAAATTTGAATGCAAGTACAGGGATACGTTAAATAATTATTTTTAAAATATATTTATTATATGAAGATGAGTTAAAAAAAGTTAAAGGAATAACAAATTTATTAAAAAAATAACAAATAAAAATTATTTTAGACATAAAAGAGTTATATTATTTATGATATATTATATTATACAATATTTTTTTTGGTTGAATGATAATATGTAATATGAAAAATATTATATATTATTATATTAACACAATTTATATTATATAATAAAAATCTAATATAAAAGAAGGATGCAGAGAACAAAGAGGAGAAGACGAAAAGAAGAGAGAGAGAGAGAGAAGAATGCAGAGTGAGATCAAGAAAGAGAGCAGAGAGAAGATAGAAGAGAGAGAGAGAGAGACCAAAGGGGAATTGAAGCCCTAGGATCATTTTTTAGGTGGAATCAACTTCGCGATGATCTCCTTCGATTCAGTCAAGCTCACGTCTAGCGTTAGCATTTCGATCTTGCTTCGCCACTCGACTTGCTTCGCAAAGGTGAGTTTCAACCCGCCCTCTCTCTCCATCTCTGAGTTTCAACCGTATCCATTTGTATCTAGCTGTATCCCGGCCGTATTCCACACCCGTACCCGTGTCGTGTCGTGTTGTGTCGTGACGACACGGGTACCTCTCACAAAACAGAGAGTCCGTGTAACGTAGATTACGTGTAATCTCATTGATTCAACAAAGTTGATATTTACCGTTGCAAGGGCAAAGTGTTCTTCTTCTTTGCATACATACTCAGGTTACTATTCCTAGTTCACAGCCATACAACAGCCCCCTTTTCATCCCCTAAACCTTAGCCAATCAAGTTAAAATAGTCCCCAGCTCTACTCCCAACCCTTTCGCCATTTAATGCATGCTTGAACCTTTGATTCCAAAGCTGCACAGAGAAATCTAACCCAGTTGTTTGCAGAGAATTTCACCTTCTTCCTTCTTGCAAACACTTGACTTCTTCTTCTATGTCATGTAACCCTAAATCCTAGAATCTAATCCAACCCTAAACTCACCATAACAGCAAGTTTCCTAAAGTTGTCCTTCATCATAGAACCACAACAATTAGAAATAGTAAGTGAGATGTACTCAAAGATATAGAAACAAAAAAAATGCCAATATATATATACATATATATGTCCTGGTTGCAGAAGAAATTATATCAGTTGTAAGCACTAATAGTAATATGATATAGTGAAAGGCCGGTAAAAAAGTATTATTGAAATTTTGGAGTCCACACAGCTAAATGTTAAGGAATTTTTTTTTCGTAACTTAATTTTATTCCACAAGGAAACACAATAACAAAAGTAACAAGGGCATACCCTGCACTCTTGAAAAATGTTAGGGATTTGATTGTGGGAACTTCATTATGTCAGGATAACAGTATTGCTAAAGCTGCCTAGGTCACTGAAACAGAGATAGAGATATCTCCCAACTTTCAGATGGAAAGAAATGGGAAGAGAAAGTTCAAAAAAAGGGGAAAGGCCAAGGGGAAATGAGAAACCCTGCAAAGGGATTGCAACCAAAGAACCCCAGATGCACAAATTATCAAAGTTGCTGCTTAGAATATTAGGGGTTTAACTGACCCTGTAAACCAAACATTAAGTCAAGAATCTTCTCAAACCCAATCTAACAGAGAAAAGATTGAGCAAGATAATCTGGAAAGCACATCTAATAATTGTTTTACAGATTGCAAGGTCAAAATATTGATAAAGAGAATATTGAATCAATATGGATATGGATATGCTGGGATGATAAGTAAAAGGACCATGAAAACACTTAAACGCCGCCATGTTACATGATACATGGGCACAATGGTGAGAAGGAAAGAAAAGCTTTACAAAATCATCTAACGCGATGAAATAAAACCACAAATGATTATCACTCGATTCTCATGGGATATTTTAATGTAGTCGGCGGAGCTCATGAAGAAAAGGAAGGCATTGGTATTACTATAATGTAACTGAAACATTGAATAAATGCCTGAGGGAACTTGGGATGTTTGAGATGAATGCTAGAGGATTTTGGCTGCCTTAGAATGATAAAATGGAGGGACTGGACACCATTTAAAGCAAATTGGACAAGGTACTCATTAATGACAAAAGGAAACAATTTTTTTTCCGGAACCAAACCTAAATTTTTGCCACCAAATGTTCAGAGCACTGTCCAGTTGCCCTAACTATCAAGTTGGATTATAAGAATACAAGGGAACTTTCCAAGTTCTTTGCCTAAACGTCCAACTTCTTTGGATTATACATGAAAATTTCAAAGATTTGTCTAAGGAAATCAGGGTGTCAAGATTCTGATGGCAATTATATGATCAAAATAAGGATGAAATAGATGATTAAAACAAGATTTGAAGCATATCACCTTCAACGATGTAGAAGCAGCATATTACAAAGGAAGAAAAAAAACATATGAAAAAAGAAATTGTGGGAACAGAGCCAAGAAAAAATATCATAGACCAAAGGGGGAATACTTTTGAAGAAAATAAAGCAATAAAAAAAATCTATCAGTTACTTCCAAAACCTACTAGGAAGTAGGAACAAATAATCCTTAAGCTGTAAATTCCAAACAAAGACCTGGAGATGTGATGAAGCAGAAACTTCAAGGGAGCAGAAAGAAGGTTTACAAAAGCCTGTTACTCCAGGAGAGATTTAAAAAAATAAAAAATAAATGACAACAATATTTTCAATCAAAAGGGACAAAACACCTGTTATGGTTTCAACAGAATTGGGCGCTTGTAGTAGATGAAATTACAAAAACAGTACTAATTTTCTTCAAAACAGGATGAATATTAAAGGAATGGAATTCTACAGCAGTAGTGCTGATCCACGAAGTCAAAAATCCAAGTTCAATGTTTACTTGGCAGTAAAGAGTGAATTTTCATAGTAAGATATTCCATTGTTTAAAATGGTGCAATACAATGGGATTTTTAAGGGAGAACGGGGATCAAACAAGATAACACCGTGTCCCTTTACCTCTTCTTACTGGTTATGAAAGCATTTGCAGATTTTCTAGATTAGCATATTTAACATAAAGAAAGAATTAGAGTTCAATTTTCATCACAAATGCCAAGAGATGGATTTCACCTAGTTTCACACACTTTTTCCCTTTCCCTTTCCCTTTCCAAATCATTCACACATTTTTCCTTTCCCTTTCCAAATCCTTTCTAAAATCTCCCAACCAAACACAGTGTTAAGAAAATTTTGACGCTTCAGCCCACCAAATTAAATGCATCATCCATTCCATGTGATGTGCATGAAGTAAAGAAAAATGAAGATAAACAGATAAATCAAACAATATGATTTATAAATTTTAATTTGATGTGTAAAACTGAATGCAGAAGTACCTCAGATACGGTGCAATGACAATGAGCAACATAATGGCAATCTTTACAATAATAAGTTGGGTGGGCCAGCACTCTTCTTTCTTCGCAAGCGTCACAGTAAAACTCTGCATCATCATCTTCATCAGGATAGTCTTTAATTGGAGAACGGGTGAGAGTGAGGGTATGGACATGATTGAAGTACTTGAGTGTGGGTGGTAATATTGAAATACAATAGATATGGAGATCAAAATGGCACAGCACACAACGGAAGAAAGGGGTAACGCAGAACTGGCGACAAGTAGTGCATAGTATATCATAATTTGGCTTGTTAAACAAAGCAAGAGGGTGTGGGTGAATTTTAGACATCATGGTTTTGGGCTTTGACAAAGCACATCTAACATCCATGTACCAGTGACACTGGGAACATTCGTAGAAACAACCAGATGAATGACGTAAACAAGCCTCGCATTTACCATACCGATGGTAGCGGAGGGTGAGAGCGTGCATTGGGTGAAACATGTGCTTCATTTCGTGGGGCAAATCAGCACATGATTCGTGCAATAAAACCTTGCATTGGGCGCAAAAACAAATTGAATCCCCCAAAGGAATCTCACATGCATAGCAACAAATTTCAAATTTCTGTTTGTTATCACATAAAATCAATGGATGGGAATGGCTAAATCGGCGAATCTGACCGAATTCATTGTTTTCAGCAGGGTTAGGGCTGAGAGAAGCACAAGCTATGTCAAGGTAAAATTCACAGTCGGAACAATGATAGATAAAGCTGTCTTTATACTGGCTGCAAGCCCCGCAAGTGTATCCGAAAAAGCGAGGTTTCCGAGGGAGGAGGAAGAGAGGATGAGAGGGGTGAAAAGGGTGATCGATCTTTCTCGGCAATTGAGCACATGTTTTGTGCAGTAAACCCTTGCACTCGAGGCATACATGGACCACAGAACGCTCATCATCAAAAGGTTGAGGACAACAACTGCAAGTATATGTATACTTACAGTTGTTGTTGTTGTTGAGATCACATGAAATTAGGGGATGGGGGTGAGTGGGTTGGAGCTGAATCTGAGATTGGATGGTTTTGGTGGTGGGGGTTAGAGAAGCGCAGACAACGTGAAGGGTAAAGGAACAGTCGAAACATGTGTATGCAGACATGTTAACAGAGTGGGAGCCACAAGCATTGCAAAGAGAATGGGGATGAATGTCGTCGGAGAGGAAGAGAGAGTGATGAGGGTGGAAGGGGTGGTGGTGAAGAGATTGTTGGATTGTTGAAGAGCATGATTTGTGGATGGTAAAGAGGCAGCCTATTGGACAATAATAGATGGGATCGTCAGGGATGTCCTGGTTGCACATTCGACAGTCACGCTCCCAACTACTGACTTCCAACATATGCTTGTGGCTGAAATGTTTGATCCTCTTCTCCTCTGTTGCCATCTCTCTCTCTCTCTCTCTCTGGGCGTAAGAATTACAGAGGTAAGTCTGTCACCAACACACGAGAGGAGTAATTCTATTTTCACTATACAATTTTCCTTTTCCTTTTTCAATAATACTCTTATATTGGACATGTTTGATTCATAATATTAATCACAAGACTAACAATGAGGTATTAATAATACTATCTATCTATACTATATATATAAGTAAATATAGTGGTCTCTTAAAAAATTTCAAACTCTCAATCCTAACATCTCATGAACCTCTTTCCTACGTAGCACATCCATTCTTCTCTCATTCTATTTTCCTATTTTTTTTTATCTTTTTTTTTATATTTTTGATTTCACTTTTTGATTACTTATGGCATGGATATAAAAGATTTTCAAAATATTTAAAGATAAAAGATTTTCAAAATATTTAAAGATAAAAGATGAGTTTGACTCTAATTCAAATTTCTTCATCAATTTATGTCTTACCCAAGGATATTTGAAATAAATAAATTTATAAATCTCAAAACCTAACTTCTATGACAATATGAAATTAGGCAAAAAGATTGGAGAACAAACATAACGTTGTAGAGAAATTAAACGGGTGATTTAACCAATTATGCAAGATTTTTTGGCATCTTATATGAAAAGAAGCACATGTTTTAAATCTCATATTGTATTTTTTTCTCTCTTTCACTTTTGCAATTTATCTAAGTTTCTCTTTCTATATTCGTATAATTTATCTTCAAATTTACATTTGATTTTTTTTTAATCTTTATCTTATATTTACAGGATCGATTCTTGCTTTTAATTTTCAATTAAGTTTATTCTTTTTTTATCTGATTTTCACTTTCTATATTCTTATAATTTTTTATTCTTTCTTATTTCAATTAAGTAGCTTTAGAAGACAAAATTTGATTAAAATTGTAGGTAGTAGACACAAAATATAGTTAAAATTTGTATAATAAGATAACATAATTGCTTATTTTTTAACTACACAAAATTTAAATTTTAAAAAATTATAAGTGGCACTTAAATCTTATATGATTTTTAACATACTACCTCGATTTTATTTTAGTTTTTTTTTTTACAAATTTTAAAAAATTATAAGTGGCATTTCACTCTTATCTAATTTTTTAATTATTACCCTCTCCATTTCTTCTGTTATTAGAGTTATATTAGATTTTATTTTTCTTTTCAAGTTTGTCTTATCTTATTTTTTAATTTTAAATTTCAACTTTTTTTTTTTTTCAATTACTGAATTTCTCTCTACCTCATTTTTCTAGGATTTATCTAATTTTCTTTTATATATATATATATAATTTATCTTCAAATTTAAACTTAATTTGTTTTTATCTATATTTTATATTTACAGAATCCACTCTTACTCTTAATTTTCAGTTGAACTTTTTTTTCTTCTAAAATTTATTTAATTAAATATAGTAAAATCACTAAATATATTATTTCAATACCCATCTAAATTAATATCATAGTATTTAATTGTTAATTTTTAGCATGTTCAACATTATTTACCATTTTTTGTTACTTGCCCGTGTATAGCACGGGTTATCGCTAGTTAGAATATATTTGATTTGGTGGATTAGAGTATGGGATTGAAATTATTAATCTGTGGGTCCAATTATCCTATGTTTGTTTTAATATTTTGATTTAGGATTATTAATCCAATGGATAATTAAACCAACAAATTTGTAGGATTATTAGTAATGGAGTAGGGATGGGATTATTAATCCAATGGATATTAATTTAATTGGATAATGAATACCACACTAATTTAATAGGATTATTAATACTTCACTATTAATCTTATGAATCAAAAATGACCTTAAATCAGTGTGATATTCACTATCCAATTAGATTAATAGGATAAATTATCCATTGAATTAATAATCTCACCCCTACCCCATTACTAATAATCCTACAAATTTATTGGATTAATTATCCATTGGATTAATAATCTTAAACCAAAATGTTAAAACGAACACAGGATAATTGGGCTCACGGATTAATAATTTCAATCTCATGCTCTAATCTATCCAATCAAACATGGCCTTAGCCTTTCATCGCCATCATGATTGTCACTCCAAACTCACCTTTTATCCTAGATCTTCATAGTTAACATTGAAAGTAATTGGCTCATGATGGGAGACTTATGGAACCGTAGTTCATGGTGGAAGGTTGTCGCAAGCAAATAGGGAAAGTGGTGACGAAAGGAGATGGCGAAGGAGAGAAGAAACATTGGTGATGGAGGATAGTTGTGGTGTTTTAGAGTAAGGGTTTGGTAAAAGAAGATAAGGGTCCTATTGTATTTCTATTTTAGGATAAAACTGTATTAAGGAAAAATTTCATGAAGTGTATAAACTAATGAGAATTAGTATGTGAAAATAGAATAACCCAAATGCAGGGAAGAAACGGTTGCTTTTGTTCCTATTTGCACACCATCATTTCATTTGTCAAACACTATTATTGAGTTCACACCATAAAAACAATTTTGATTTTTACTTGGAACTCTTTTTTTTTTCTAAACTTAAAAAACATGCAATATATTAAAAGAATGTAACAGAGTACAAAAACAACAAAGAAAGAAACTACAATAACAATACAAACTATAAAGAAGCCACAAAAAACAACTATGATTTAAGAAGACTAGGACTACTTGCAGACATGGTATGGGATTCCAACCTAAAGATGAAAGGTCTGCCTCAAGCGTACAACCACTGTCGTCGCCGTCACCGATGACGTCGTCCACTGCCATTGCTGCTCAAACTCCACCACTATTGCCGCTACACCAGAAGGCTGAAGCTTAATAACCCCACAACAGTAAAGAACTATTGGGGATAATACCAAAAATCTATGTAGGAATTGAAGGAGATATCACAAAACCCTTATTCTTTACATAAAAAGTCCATATTTACACCCTAGGAGGGTAGATCTACACTTAACATAGCCGAAAATCTCCTTAGTAGAGTAGTTTTTTTTTTTTTTTAACGCTTAAAAAAGGACGTTTTGTGAGAACATCATAGCATCTGTGTGCCCTAGTCTTTGAGTAACCAGTTGCCAGCCAGATTTGACCAAACTTATAAGAAGGGACCCACTACAAGAGCACACAATGGACCTCACCCACATGCTACAACAAGAGGCAAAGTTATTCGCGCCCCTCCAGAATTTGAGCCTTGCCTTTCGTGGGTAAAGTTCTGCATTATCCACTTTGGCACCACCCCTAGTGGTTACTTGGTAGAGTTGATTAGTAATAATTTAAGACAAATTTCACTTTACCAATTTGTAGTTTGGATTATTCCTCTTTCATTTGGAAACAATCACAGTATTATGTGATTTGTGGATTAAAATGTACCATCAAGCTTATTAATGATTTAATCAAAAAGACTAAAATACCCATATTATCTCAACTTGAGAGAGCATTTAAGTTTGGTAGGCTCATTTTGGAATCAATTTTGATAATCCAAACCATTCACTTTTTACGACTCGTTAAGCAGAATATTCATGCAAAAAATCAAAAATGATTGGACATCAGTAGTTATATGTTTGAATCATATTTGTTTTTAAAAAAATAGATGACAAATATAATTTCAAGAATAGCCATCCATTTTTTATAATACAAATTTGACACATTTATGGTATATGGTGTGTAAATTGAAGCTCCTTTTTTAATACATTTATCCCCTCAAATGAAATTACTAAAATTGCCAAGAATGAATTGTTATTGACGTGTTTAAAAAAAATAAAAATAATAAAAAAATTGTACATGCCTCTATCCGCACGAGTGCAATTTTATTCACTTAGTTAAAAAATGTTTGAAAATAACATTTCATTTTAATGGTTGTTCTATTGGAGTGGGTCATGAAGCAAAATTGAAAAAAAAAAATGCAACATTACTTTCTTTGTATATAAAAGGAGCCCAAGTATCTGCTTTGCTATTGGAGCCATTTGTGAGTAATAACTTTGTAAAGTTATGTTCACGTTTAAGTATTTTTTTATATGATATAACAAGAAATGATCTGTTTTTTGAAATGCTATGTTCTGTATCAATGAATGATTGTCCAAGTATTAAAAAGTATTCGTGGCAGCCTTAGCACATGGCTTTTGCTTGGGGATAACAATACCGTGGTCTCGTGGCCCTTGCCCGGGGTTATAATATTGTGGTCACATGGCTCTCGCCCAGGAGTAACAATATCGTGGCTTAAGTATGTTATCTATTCTTGGTACCAGAGGTTCTTTATGGAACTAGTCAAGTATGACCCTTAATGCTCTGTATCTAATCTGTTAGCGCTAATGGGTGTACCACGTATGATCATCTGTGAAATTGAATAAGTATATGCTTCTAAACTCTAAATAAGAATATGAATCTATTTATGGGACATCATTCATTAAATCCTTTACTTTGTTATTATTCACAGGGTTTTCCCTCACTATTTATATTATGTATGTAGGTGGTCAGGAGCATGACCAGGCTCAGTGATGGCTACTTGGAAGTTTGTTGTAAGCCAACCTTTGCACTTCCTGGGGAGGTTCCCGCCTGGAGAAGCCAAACTCTATTATTATTCACTGTGCTTTCGCTCACTATTTATATTATGTATGTAGGTGATCAGGAGCATGACCAGGCTCAGTGATGGCTGCTTGGAAGTTTGTTGTCAGCCAACCTTTGCACCTCCTAGGGAGGTTCCCGTTTGAAGAAGTCAAGTTTTTCATGGATTATGTTAAGGATTTATTTTTGTTTTTGTTTATCCGTACATTGGGCTAAGTCCCTTTTGATAATATTTGTATGGTGATGCGTGACTTATATAATTTTGACATCATATGTATATATTTAAGTTTTAAATTCCTGTCATATGTATGTCAGCATAGCTCAATAGATGATAAATGTTTTATATTTGCTTCCTCAGCCCCTTATTTTATGATGATCCATTCAGAGGCCTTTGGTAATTCTAAGATTACTGGTCGGTCACGACGCTAAACCTATAGGGGCAGGTTTGGGTAGCGTCGTGACACAATCAGTCCATGCCTAGGATAACATCGAAACCCAACATGTCTAACAACACAAATGCAAAAAAA